ACATTTTTTTCTTTCTATTCTATAATTTATTGATGAGGGAAAACATTATAATATTAACCCTTAAACTAAAAGAAAAGTTAAAAAAAAAATAAGACTTATACTTCATAGAATCTGAATCCCGATAAAAAAAAATAAAGAGACCTTATATAGTGTATTTACAGTCGGTAGAACTAATGTAACATGGTTAAAGACAAATATCATATTATTTATACATGCGTTAAATTTAATTTAATTTAAAACACTGAAATTCCTGTAATTATATTCATGTATTCAATGATTTCATATTCGTAAAGTTACCTATATTTAATTGATAATTTCCATTTAATATGAATATTAATCAACATTCTATTGTTATATTATAAAACAAATATTGTTATCTAATTACAAGGTACACTAGTTTTTGTCAAAATATCACATTCGTGTATGCTTCGAAGTGCGCATGAAATTTACATTAGTAACGTGATTTATTTCGTCGTATTTATTTATATCATTTTATAGTACACAGATAAATATATTTTTGATTTTTCCTAATTTTATTTATTTTGATAACTAACATAAGACATGGAACGAATAAAAAACAAAAATATCTAAATATAATTTTTGACAAAATTTTATATATTATGTTTCTATTATTTAGTGGGGTCAAACAAAACCCTCAGAGTTGGCACTCATGGACGTACAACATGATGCTTCCGGTCAGTACGCATGCACAGTAACCACAGAATCTCCAATATATAGTAAGACATCTGAATCCCACGACCTTACAGTCATAAGTAAGTTTGGTTTTTTCAAACAAAATAGTGTTGAAATACAAGATTATATTGGAAAAATTATAGTTATTATTTTATTTTCAGAAATTCAAACTACCGATCCTACTATTGAAATCTTCAAAGAAGTATTCAACGTAGGAGACATATTGGACGCCACTTGTACATCAGGACCTTCGAAACCTGTACCCGAAATCACATGGCTAGTCAATGGACGAAGGGTAATTTTTAATATAATATTAATAGCAAGTAGTATGCCAGTATGCTGGTCGGTTCAYCTCGAATATCGGTGTATGTTCGACAATTTTTACTTAAGACGTAATAATAGGTACATTGCACGTCATACGTACAGTGTATAGTATAGTCTATAATATGATGCGCAATAATATTTTTTYGCTCACTTATTACTAGACTAGATAATATAGATGTCCTGCACGACATTGTTCGAACCAAAGATTTATTTATTTATTTAGAATTCAACGGGACTAGCCCTTTTACAGAATTTAGAGTGTATTTAGTCCTGACTTTGCACAGTAAATAGTTAATAAAATATATTATAAGATACAGCGTTATGTAGGTTTATCTTRATTTTAAATATCTCAGTCCATGAATATCGGCGTCGGCCGTCGGTATACCCCACATTGCGAAAATAAATAATACTTAGATGGGAACGCTGATAACATTTATCACTTTGTATATTTTTCAATGTGATTAAAAATTTAAAACTCGTATCTAAATTATTTTGATATCTCTAAAARAAATWTTCGCGATTGCCGTCAAAAATTCAAAATCAGTTATATTGTTTTTGAATATAATAGGTTATAGTTTCTTTAACTGAGGCCGTATAATTGCGACGATTTGATACATGATTTTATTTCATATACTGAGTAAATAACTAGTGCCAACCATTTAAGGTATACAAAAAAAAAATAAGAATGGAAAATTCTTTCTTAGCGTACCCTTATACGGTTGTACGAAATTTTCATAAAAATTTCAAGTTTCCAGCTATTATAGTTAAGGTTCTGCGTTGATCAGTCAGTTAGAACAAGTCTGATTATGTATATTTATGTAAACATGATTATAGGTATCTAAATAAACAATATGGTAATTATTGTAAAGATAAATGTATTAAATTARATTAAATTCATAGACTTAACGATACGGTGGTTACACGGCGTTCCATGTAGACAAATCTGATGCACCCGTGTCAGGCAAGCACTATTATTATTATATATTTTCGTAATAATACTATCAAACTTTTAAAAAACTATAAATTAATAATGAAACTAATAATATTGCATGTTAATATTCAAAATTATTTTCATTAATTTCTTTCGGCATTGATAATTATTATACTATTACGTAATACGTAATAAATATTGTAATAATAATAAGTGATATTATGTGCAGATTTAAAATTAAATTTTATTAATAAAATAATATAATATTTGAAACTTAAATTTAAAAACATACATCAATGTAACGCTATTACAACATAATATGCGTGATGCATTGGTTTACGACTATTGTCTCGGTGGACTACMACTGGAACACGAGGACAAATTTTAAGATCTTGTATTTTTACATTATGTTCCATCTCTTGAATTCCGTTCTCACGTTTACTATTATAATTAATATTCAATAAATCATTACGTGCTCTT